CTTCGTATGGTAATTTGAATCGCTTGCAAGGTAAGATTTGATGATTCTAAAAAGAATGAGTGAATAAATTAACTTTACCTAGGGTCAGGTGGGTAAGCCTGCTTGTAGCTTGCTAGGGGTTGTTTCTAGGTGTTAATTGGGGGGTGAGTGCCTTATGTGGCTTGGTTAGGGAATAAGTGGTTTGAATGGCTGGCAATGTTAGACTTACATTAAGCTTAAGAGATACTTTGAGTTTTTCACTATCAAGTGGAAAATGCTAGTCAGCTACACCTGAAAGGGCTTTGAAACTAGTGTTGCTAAACACATGTTATTCTGCTGTTTGAAAGCGTGATTCTTTGAACTGACAGCTGTTTCTTAAACTTCTTCTTCTCGTAATTATTCGTCCCAACTTATTTTACTTTTTCAAACTTCCTGCATTAAAACTTTTGCGTGAACTATCGGAGGATTTAGAAAACCTTAAGAATCAGAAGCAGACATTAATGATTTTTAAAAATCCTTTTTTCGAAGGTCGCTTTGTTCCTCTTACTAGTTCGCAACCAATTTTTATTAAACTTAAATAAAACGTTAATGTGCCCGATTTACGAAATGATTCAAAACCTGAAACTTCTTCTTCACCATTTTCATTCAAATTCACATTCACTTAAATTTCTTATTTATTTTTTTTCTATTTGACGCAGGCAAAGATGAATTCTTGTTTCTAGCTGAACCGTGCATAGTCCATTTAGCTTAGAATCAATTAAAAATATTTGTTTCACTTTTTAAGATGCTTTTTCTAACAAGTTGCAACTACTAAGAAAATCATCCACATAACAGTTATGTACCAGACTTCTTGCGGTACCAGGGTTTTTTGAAACTAATTTAGCTACACTAATAATGTTCAAAATAGTACGAGGTGACGATTCTTCTTCGAATAAAAACGAAGTTATTATGTGTTATTTCAGCTCGTGCGTTCAGTCTCCACCTCTCCATAAAAAGCACTGAGCATCGCAGAATTCTTCACGAATTTTTATCATGAAAAACGTGTCGTGCAAATTCGATTTTAAAAGAACTGATCCATTGAGCAATAAGATATTAAGACTTTCTTGCCCCAGACCTTAATTTTGCATCATGAGCTAATCAAAGTTTGCCCAGCTTATTGACGTTCAGAATCCTAAAATGAGATCGACACTAAGTTATTTACTCCTGTAGATTTTTTCATTGCTTTGACTGAAAATCCTTTATCTACCGATTCATCTTTTTCTTGGTAAAATGTCGCCACATTACTTTTTTTCTATAATAATCAAGTTCCTTTACTATAGATCGTAATCTTTGAATTGCGTTTATACGGCTATTTAGTAAAGACTGATCTTTCTTTTTCATAAAAGACCAACCTTCTAACTATTACCCATATACTTGTAAAGTTTTTCCAGAATTTTAATGACACGATCTTTAGTTCTTTCATCTTTTCTACATTCAACAGTGTCAATTTTGGAATGAAGTCTAACTAACTTACTGCCATTGTTATTGCATTTTAAAATATGACTTTAGTGGTTTGTTTACGTAGTCTTTTATTTTTTAAATCTTTATTTACCTATACGTATAATTTTTGGCAGCCTTTGTGTAAGTCACTCTTTAAAATTAAGTCTTCATAGTCTATCAACTTCATAGTCTTATTCACTAAACATACTAGGTGTACTTTTAAAAACTTGAACGTTCACTCCTGTCTCTTTTAAACATAAATGTTATACTTGCACTTACATTTGCATTCAAAAATAATACTGTTACGTCGGCGCAACGTACCATTCGAGCCTAAGCTTTTGCTTAATAGCTCGAGGCTCACACTGGACGCGTAGTTGGAACACGAGGCTAAAAGGTAGTTATTTTTCTTGTCTGAGTATTTAAAAGGTGGTAAGGGCGACCGTTTTGATCAAATCAACGCGATTGTCGAGCAATAATGCGATGTACTTGTTCGCAGTGCGCCTCAGATTTATCGAGGATACTTGGTGTGATGTGTTGTACCGTATCTTGTTCGCGATCTATAGGTTACCAGTACCGTAACGAGCAAAGGTAGTTACACTCTAGAGGTTACGTAAGGGGGGAAAATGGTTTAAGTTCGCGACTGGTCTAGGATCTACCAGTACCATCCGGGGTAAATGTGATTGTCCTAGACTTTACATGAGGAGTATTTTGTCTATTTCAATTCGTAACGTGATGTTTACTGATACCGAATTTTGAACTTAGAGAAAAAGGAAAAAAAACTTTCATTTTAATATTACAATTTGACTTACTTTTATTTCTGATCTTAAAGTATACACCGGAGCGAACCAGCGTGGGGTGTCCGAGATCGAAGATTGAAAACCGCACTCGTGGAGGACCGTGGGATAGCAGAGGCGGACTCTAGCTACTTAGTCAACCGTTCGAGGGTGAAAATTAAACTGTGTTTTTTCTGTTCCTTCAGGCCCTTTTTATAAGGAGTAGCGGACCTCGGTGACGCGCTGGTTCAATATCAACGCAGGAGAGCTTGCCAGGGGAAAATCTTGCAAAAATGATTATAGCCGAAAATCTCATTGGCTAGAACTGCTCTAGTTTAGCCACTCAAAAATTGGCACTTCCCACATCTGGCTCGCTCTCCTCTTTGCGCTAAGAGAAGGGAAAGAGATCTCACTTGCTCATGCCCTTCCTTTCCCTTTTACAACGAAGTTGACAGAATTTCAATATATTTTAACCTTAACGACAAGATATTGTTAATATTGACTAATGCTAAACATCAGTTGTTTGTTTAGCTGAGCTCATTGCAAAAAGAGCAGTGAAAATCGCTTAACAATTCGGTTGATGCTAGGGTGAAAAAACGATTGGTGAGTTGTTAATTAATACTACTACTTCAGTGCCAAAACGGTGGCTGCAGCCGTACTAACTTATAATTAGCGGTGGTATTTATAATAATAGTTAGAATAATAATAATAATAATAATAATAATAATAATAATAATAATAAGTTTAATAGCAATAATAATAATCATACTAATGATAATAAGAATAGCAGTTGTTAGAATACTAGTGTTTTGCCGGTTGTGAGTTAACATATTTTGTTTTATCGGTAGTTTAAATGTTTAAAATGTAAAAAAAATAATGCGGAATTTTAGTATAATTTTGGTAAACATATTTTTCTGCTGCTAGATGATGGAGAGGTACTATTGTGGTACCCTAGGAAATAAGAAACTCGGTTACCCCTATTGGAGGCAGGCATACGGACTCTCTCTCCGAGTCAAGAAAAGGGGAAGGGTTACTTTCCGTTTTCCTTTACATTCGGAAAAAAGTGTTAGCAATCTGCTAGATTACAAATTAGACTATCGCAGTATGTTCATAAAATTATTAATGCGATACAAAAAGGGTTACTCTCTATATCATGAGCTTGCAAACTTTAATAGTAAAAATTGAATACTTCCTTGACGGTTACTTATGTTGTGCACCAGGTTTGTTATAATTAATACGTAAAGTATTTGTTCGCTAATGGTGTAGTATGTACTGGTTTTTTGTGACGATTCTGGCTTGTAACAATATTTTCGCTTATTTCTATGTGTTAATTCTAAGCTATCCTATTGTTTAACTTTATGTTTATCTAACACTATATCTGCTTTTAATATTTCAGTTTAACTGTTCCCAGTTAAACTTTTGTATCTACGGTTGTAGAAAAATATATTATTTTGCATTTTCGGTCAGCGTGGGCCAGCGTGCATGTATGTGAGTTATGCATGGTCGTAGTATCTTAGCAACGAGTATTCTTGTAGGTGATTCACCTCTTTGCAGATGCATATTGACCCCTGCGTTTAGAGTTATAAAATTGGCACGAAAAGTTTTGACGAAAGGGGAAAAAAAAATTAATGTGGACACCAATGTTACAATACAGTTCCTAAAATTTAGACATTCTTTATTTTCAACACTTTTCCACCTTTTTTTACAATAATATTAACTCGTTTATTAGATAAAAAAATCGCTCTTTCTCACCACTTGTGCTCCTTTTCGAATCATTTAGAACTTTATTGTAATTACAAAGTTTACGTCAATAATTATAATATTAGCCTTGCCATCTAATAGAACGTACATTAATTAATTTTTGAATTTATAGGAAATTTGCCACTGACCGTGATCAACTTTTGCAATTCTCTGCCCCGTGCTACATAAAGAAAAACATGCCTTGGACTCAAGCGTCGAAGATGACTGTTTGTATTAACGTTATTTAGAAATTGTAGTTCGCTTTTTTCTTACACATTATGTTTTGTTGCCATGCTTGTTCTTTAAATATTTTGCAACAAAGAAAACTATTTAAATTAGTGTTATTAAACATATATTCCGTAACAACTTTAGAAGATCAATTATATACTTTTTTTAGAATTGCTTTTGTTCGTTATAGGTAAGGTAGCAGTTTTATTTGATTTTATTTTTTTTCCGATTGTTGAACATATAAACTTTTGGTAAAAAAAAATTAATACACCACGTCAGCACAAACCAGTGTCACAATATACTATATTAGGCAGGTTCCTATACTATCCTGGAGGTACTGCTACTAGGGTGGTAGATTTTTTTAGTTGCAAGTATACCAAAAATTCTACCTTGAGTTAATACATTTGGCATTATTAACTTATTAATAATTTCTCAAAAATGACATGTTATTAAATATGTTCTTGTAATATTGATACTTTTTCCCAAAACACCAATCACAAATATACAAACATAAATAATCGAATAGAATTAAGAAAAGTTCAAGCTAAAGTACACAGGCAAATGAGAATTTCTAACGGGAAACAACTATTACAGCGCATAGGGGTTTGACTAACGTGATGAAACTACATAGGCTATGGCTAGATTTCCGGTACTACCCGTATATGTAGCTATTTGGAAAAGTATGTAATACTTAAACTGTTATATATGTATATATATATATATATATATTGTATATAGCATAAACATAAGTGTGCATGTATATTGAATACTATATATATGTGTAAATAAGATTTTTAAATTTTACTGACTCCAAGAATCAGGCCCACACCCTGTGAATTGACCTAAGACCTTAATAATTGTGCTATGCAGCACGCCTATCCAGTCTCTATTCTTATTTCTTATGGATACCAACTGAGAAACTTCTGAAGTAGAAAATTGACCAATATTTAAGCATTTTTTGTATTATATATAATTTAGCTCACCGATGTCAAAAGAAATAATTATCATTATTTTTTTGTGGTCCAACAATGATTAAATTTTGTGAAATGCTTTGAAGTTCGTTTTGCTTAAGTCTTTTCGCGGTTCTATATACAGAGAAAACAAAAATACCAGCGTATAGGGCGAAAGATTTTCTATTAATTAGCACTTATAATATAATAATTATTGTTCCAACAAGCGAAAAATGTTAAGAAAAAAAACAGAAAAGGCAATTTGGCAGTACCTGTAAGAGTAAGTGAAATAGAGAG